TCTTTGCTTTTACAGCTTGACCCTAAATACACTGAAGTAGAAGATTTTTACATTACCTCAGCACAGACAAGCCCCTAATGTTTGCAAAAAGCCTTTCAGTAAAGCCAAATATCAAGTCCTACTCCATCTGATAGATGGTGTATGAAGATTAACCATCTTTAAAGGGATAGTTGTAGGATCATAGGATTTTCTGTGGAGTATTTTACAGCATCCATCTAGGTTCAAACTTTCACTTCTTCAGAGATGACCTGTACTGCGAGGGAACTTCCAGGCTGAGAATCAGGTTCAGAGGAGCTGAAAGAGTAACAGTTTTTTTATGTCCTCCCATTACATGGCATGAGAATTCTCTTCTGGAGAACCTAAACAAAGGAAAAGATGCTTACAAGATATGTGGAGTAAGGAGAGTTGAAAAATAAAAAAGGTAAAGAACTGTAAAAACTATAAAAAGAAGACCGAGCTCCAGCTAAGCACAGCAGTACTCAAAACGTAGTCATGTCAGGTTGTTGATGATAATTGAGTCTTTGCTGGACACAGGGATTTGGGCTGAATCCAGTAACCTCTACTTGACAGAGGAAAGATAAGAATATCAATTAAATGCTTTGATATTTGCCATCGAGACCAAAATGTTCTCCTTAACTTTGAGGGAAGAATAAAAAAACCACTCCAAAAGGCATTTGATGCTCCTTTTTCAGACAAAATATTACCCGTGAAATTTCAGGATGGAATACTTTTTTAGAAAGACCAATTTTAATGGGCAGTTTCAGGAACTGGGAAAACTCAAGGAACAGAAGAAATATCTTGTTTACCACCTTTCATTGGGGTCTGGAACAAATTTGCTTATATTTCTTTGCAGTTTTTGTTTAGGGAAAATAAGGATTTCCATCTGTTAAGCATCAATACTTTTAGGAAGTGTTGAGATTGGGATACATTCATAGGCCATTTATTCAGTCAGCACAATCTCTTCACATCACTTACCATAGGATCATTATTTAAAAAGCAAATGAGTCCCTAAATGAGGGGAGTGGCTGCACCTGTATCAGTAAAGAGACGGTATCACAGGTTACCCTCTGGTCTCAGCCAGATATATAAGATATCAGCATAAACTTATGATATATAAGATATCAGCATAAACTTATGTGGAGTTGGCTCAAGACCCACAAATAGGCCAGCCAAAAGTGCTTGAGGCTCCAGATACACCAATTCATCACAGTCAGGCCGCTTCCCAGACAGTGCAGTGTAGACCTTCACAAAGGTGTTGTCCATGATCACACAGGAAGTTTGACCTTACGGCGCAATTGAATTCCTCTCCCCTAATTCTCAGCCTTATGCAGGACTGTTGACTCATCATTCCTCTCTTTAGGTGACTCGATTTTATTTCTGTGACAAATCAAACTCAGGTCTCCTGAAGAATCTTGTTCCACAGCACACAGACTACTGGCAGTTGTTCCCAGACTTGAAGGCCCATAAAATAAATTACATGGTTATCGATTGGAGGGATGCCAAGATAATTTTAAATCTGTAACAAATACATTTCTGGATTGAGTCTGTTAAGATTGTAGTCAGTAGGAATTTTGCCATTTTTTTTCAGTGAATATAGCCCTGAGAAATTTGGAAGCATGAAGACCCTAATGGTGAGTTTTCACTTTAGAAAAAAGGTATGCGGAGAAAACTTTTGTACAAATAACAACAACCTGACAGATCTTCTGCTGAGGATAGAGCGCACCAGAGCAAACCAATATGTCTTAATTAATAATCCTGTCTACTCAGTACAACTGCAGTAATACTAATCATTGTCTGAGAAGCCGTGGAAGAGTCTTGGCTGAATACAAAGGCTTTTTAGACTTCTGTTCGATTTGCTCTTTCAGAACTGTAGTGTTTTGAAGATAAATAAAAGCTGCTAATGAATATGTATATGTTTCCTGATGTAGAGTATGTCAGTGAATATTCTAGGACGGTTTTGTAATTTGCAATGAACATGCTTCTTTGAAGTTTTTACCAATTTAAAAATGCAGTTGTTATGTTTGGGTCACACATCAGTTTACTGATTTAGTTAGACAAAGAAACTAAGCTTAGACAAAATATTTCAAGACAAGAATGCTTTCCAACTTCAAACAGCAAAATACCTTGAAAGTTCTTCTAAATAGCTGCAAGACAGTTAAAAATTCTTCTAACAATATGGAACAAGCTTGATTATTATCTGTTAGGGGAAAAAAAAGCCACCCAAACATTTTCTTGTCTGCTTAAACAAGAAAAGTGAATGAGTTAAGATACCTTGGGAGGGCTAGAGTTGGAGGTCGTATGGAGACTATACCGTGCAGCACCTGATGTCCAGCGTGCTGGCTTCATGCCCTCCTGTGCAGGGAGGGTGGTGGCAGCTGGGGTCTGGGGGGGCGAGCACCCATGCTCCACACCCTGGGCAATCCCAGGGGCAAGAACAGAGCTGCTGGCTGCATGGTCATTTGCTCAGTGGCTGTTCGTGTGGTCAGATTTCAGAATCACAGCTACAGGAACATCCTTTGACTCAACTTTGATAGGAAGTCCAAAGTGGATGAAGCAAATTCTTTTAGGGGGAAAAGTGAAGCACTTAGTGCTTAACATTCGTTTTCCATTTTACCTTTGTTACTTTTAACATTCCAGTGTCAATCGAAAGACTTCAGTGAGAGCTTCATCCTGTTGTATAAGGTACTGCACAAGCTCAGGATAAGGTAGTTCCTGACATAACAAAATGACAGTCTAAAAGATAAAACAGAGAAAATGGGCAAAGGAATAAGGGCTCAAAGAGGCAAGGTTGCGCGCACCAGATTACAAGAAGTGAAGAATGTGATGTCCCCTCCAGTCTAATTTGCAGACTGGCAATAGATTTGTGGGCAGCAGCCTCAAAGAATCACAGAATGGTTGAGGTTGGCAGAGATCGCTGTGGGCCAAGACCGAGCTCACCAGCAGCCGTGGTAGTGCCCCTGGGGTAACGTGTTTGAGAAGGGAGGAAAAAACTGTGCAAGAGAAACTGCAGCCAGAGGGAGGAGTGAGAATATGTGAGAGGAACAGCCCTGCAGACCCCCAGGTCAGTGGAGAAGGAGGGGCAGGATGTGCTTCAGGAGCCGGAGCAGAGATTCCCAGGCAGCCCGTGGTGCAGCCCATGGTGAGGCCGGCTGTGCCCTGCAGCCATGGAGGGTCACGGGGGGCACAGACCCACCTGCAGCCCAGGGAGGACCCCACACCAGAGCAGGGGGATGCCGGAAGGAGGCTGTGACCCTGTTTCGGTCACAGACAGAAAGATTTGGTTTTATTTTTCATTATCCTACTATGATGTGATTGGTAGTAAATGAAACCAATTTCCCCAAGTTGAGTCTGCTTTTCTTGGCTATGTAAATGCCCTGGGACTGCCCGCAGATGTGGGAGCAGCTGCCTCCCTCTGGCTGCATGTTTTCATAGATCTTGAACCTTTGGTGTTGCGCAGGTGTGGTGCCTCTTAACTGCAAGGCTGTGTGCCTTGGGAGAGCTTGCGGGACTGCCTGAGACCAGGAAACGGCACGGCCAGGTCTCAAGAGTTCCATCTCCCTCAGATTCAAGGTATGTTTAAGCACAATGAGGAGATCAGAGGAAGTCAGATCATGAGCAGGATCGATGCAGAATAAGGTGGTGGAAGGGACATCATTCGGTCACCAAACATCTTGGTGCAACTGTTGATACAGCAGCAAAAATCCCAACCTTAGCTACACCTTGAGGTGTGTCAAACTTGAAGTGCAGGCAGAGTTTTCACATACTTGTCTGTGTCAGGATGTGCCATACACATCCCTTTACACACACATACACATCCCTTTACACACACATACACACGTGCACATATGTAACACTTTCCAAAACTGCTGTCCTAGCAGAACAGCCACATCCAACCATTTGGGTTGCTTTTAAGGTTATTTTGGAAGCAGCATTCACCTATGCCTTGGGATGAGGGGACTATGCTTAGTACAAGAGCATTTATAAAACTTAAAGCAGAGAGAGTGGCTTCAGCCACAGATGCTGAAGCCACTGCAAGCTGCAGCCCAAACCTCCTTACCATCCCAAAGTCCTCCCTCTGGATCTCTCTGGAGCAGATGCTGCTCTGTGTGTGTGAGACTCCTGTGATGCAACGAGTGGGGATTAGTGAAACCCTGTTTTCACTGATGACTTAAAGCAGGATTCCCAGTCCCTCAGGGGGAGGGGACCGCTCCTGCAACCAGCGATGCTCAGCATCTGACATCAGCCCAGCATTGCAGTCCTGTACGAAAATTAGCATTACAATCAGCTTTACCGCATTCCCCAGAAATCCTGTGAGGAGGAAGTCCGCAATGAAGTCATTTCGTGCTGCGTGGTTCACCATGGTAACTCCAATTCCAGCCTCTCCCTGGTGCTACCTGGCTGGAGCTTCGTGCAGGCAAGGCAGGAGGCTCTGCCGCTGAGGCTCCCTGGCTCTCCGTTCATTTAGAACCCTGGTGTCACATCCCAGTGTGGTGGCAATAGCTGAGAGCCCTTGGAGCAGACCCATGGCATGCCGTAAGTGCCGTTTCTCTCTGACGTAGGCACCAGATTGCAGATGCCAGTCGGAGGAAGGACACATCGATCAGCATCGGGCTCGGGATGAGTCTGGGCAGCGCTTAGGTTGGGCTGTCTGCTCCCAGGCGGAGCCGGCGGGTTTGGAGAAGGTTTCAATTCCAGCTGATGAAGCTGGCATGTGTCAGGATGCAGCTGTGGAGTGAAGGCTGCTCTTTTGATGGGAGCTGCTGACCTTCTCGCTAATCTGGGGGAGAGCAGCGTGCTCTCTGCGGTTCGAGATTTGCAGGGGAAACTGCAGCATCTTTCACCTGCTTGATGTTTTGTCTACATCAGGTTTGGCAGCCACTTAGAGAAAAGATCAATTCTGTTTGGTTTTTTTTTTTTCTTGAAAAGCATTTATGTTTAGTTATTCAAAAACCAGGGATTAACAGTCACATTCCTCTCTTTCCAGCAGGAGCTATGCCGAAATGCGTGTTTGCTGGCAGCTGGGAACCAGTGCTGCCTCCTCCAGCACCGACGGTGCCGACTTTGCATTGTACCCCCCAGAACCTGCTCACCTGTCTATTTACACTGTCGATACAAATCAACTCAAGAGCAGATGTCTTGGTCAGTGATTGCACAAGTACCAACTCGTGTTCAATCCTTAAATCTGCGCAGCAGCTGTGGAGTTGTGGTAAACGGGTTATTTTGGAATGTGGTTTCAGACCATGCCGGTTATCCCTGAAGTGCTGGTTAGTGCCTGAATTTAGCAAAAGGGATCTTCTGCAGTGAGTTAAGGGAGCACTGTTATCAAATGTTTTTGGTTTGAAAGCCAGGCTTTGTTGGACTAAACATCCTGCCTACCAATTTGATCTTGTTCCAGCAGTTATTCCAAAGAGCTGAAATACATGTAGGTTGTTATTGTTCTGACCGTAAGAAAAGAGCGGTCTCTGAAACACATCGGTCCAATTCTGCGAATGCGTATGGGGTGGATCTCTCTGTGAGTTTTAGGTGTGGAAGCTCTGGCTGATAGAGATCAAGGAGAACGTCACTGCCAGGTTTTGTCTTGTGCCTCCCAGGAGGCTCAACACAAGACAAGGAGGGAAAACAGCTTCGTGATGTCTTTGCATTTCTGGGCCTCAGGACTGATGCAAGAGCTGGCACAGCTGCCACTGTCACCCCCAGCATTGCTATAGCTTAGAGATGCTGCCCACAGTTGTCCACCAGCTGCTATGCAACCCAAAATAGCCTCCGCACAAAGCACTCCAGGAAGCCCCCTCTTCCTTTCCCTCTATGTCCCCTTCATCCGGCACTCTGATGTGGAGGGCTTAGACTGAAATGAAGAGGTTACTTCATGAATGAATTGATTTGATTCAGTTTTAATTATTTTTTTTTAAAGAAAGCAGATTTGCTCTTTTAGATTTTAAATGGAACATTTTCTTTTGTTAATCATTCTTAGCATTTGTTTTCATTTCTTAAGATAATTTTAATAATCACGTCATCTCTTTTTGCCTTGTAGGAAAAAAAAGTGAGCTATTAGTGATTTTTCTTTTCCTTCTTCCCTCTCCTTTTCCTCTTGCCACTCTGGAACTATTTAATGGTTTTTTGCTTATTACAGATAGTGCAGGGAAGAATGGAAAGAAACCCCAAAACATAAAAATAATACTAGATCAATGAGATTGCTTTTTCTTTTTTCTTTTCTATTTTTCCAGTGCTTCCAAATCTGGGAAATTTTGGTAAGTTACATCTTGATCCTACAACCATGTAAGAAGTTGTGTACCAGGACACAACAAAAGTCCATCTGGCACAGTATTTATCTCCAAGAATGACCAAGAAGAGGTATGTAAAGCCAAAACTGAAAAAGGGAGCAAGAACAATTACATATACTCAAAATATTTTCCAGACGTGTGTGGCTGGGGGACTAGAACTGATGCCTTTGCATGAAGACTCTTTCACTCTTGTCATTGCCAGCTTGCTTCTCAGTACGGGACCAAGTGAAGTCCTCAAGTCTTCTAGTGACCACATGAAGAAGTTCTTCCTGGAGAGGGTGTGGAGGCACTGGGACAGGTTGCCCAGAGAAGCTGTGGATTCCCCATCCCTGGATGTATTCAAGGCCAGGCTGGATGAGGCTTTGAGCAACCTGGCCTAGTGGAAGGTGTCCCTGCCCATGGCAGGGGGGTTGGAACTGGATGATGTCTAAGGTCCCTTCCAACCCAAACCATGCTATGACTCTGTGATTCTATGATTCTATGACCAAGATTCAAAGACAAGGTTTGATCCTTCACTCCTGCTACACAATTGGAATTCATGAAAAACCATTAACTTTGTAGGGTTTTCCCTGAAATTTCAGGTAATGCACAGTGAAATATTTATAGGCATTCTTGATTTCTAGATGTGGCCATTCAGCACAGACTGGCTACAAAAGAGCTAAGTACAGCCGAGGTGTGGGATGAAAATATTTGTTAAATAGGTAATACTTGTCAAGGAGGTTGCTGGAATGCTTGAATGAGAAATTAATCTTATGAGAGCCAGTAGAAAATGGAGAGGATATATATTGAGAAAAATTGGTAATTAACTGAAAAATATGTTTAGAAATTTTTACTTAAGCCTCTTTAAAAATTACAAAGAAAAGAAAGAGCCTTTTGTTTGCTTGTTCTTTTTGTATTCCTCTGGCTCCTCAATGTTGTATTTCTGCTTGAATAAAGGCATTTATTTCTAAAATGATTGTACATTATTTCCTCCTTTATACAGCATTGCTGTATGTTACAGCTTAGCTTACCCATCCCATCCCAACACCGCTTACGTTTCACTGCAGAGGAGGTAGTCCCTGATCACCTCACACTGATATCCATCACTGATGGATGCTGCTCAGGTGCTTTGTTATGAGAAACCGTTACCATTCAAATGATCCATGCAAAAAATCTTCTTGCTGATGGGTGTGCAGGGAGGACAACAGGGTCCCCTGGCCTCCCAGCCTTGATCGTGTCGTATTACAATCAGGGAGGTGCTCTGCTCACGCAGAGGGCTTTCCACTCTCCTTTGCCTGTTCAGCTTTTGACAGTTTTTCTCTTTCATTGAATGAGACATCCTGCATCGTACAAAAGAGACTGTTTTAGTGACGTCTTTGAGGTGTGCAAATTGTAAGCAGGATTTGCTGCTTTGAGTTACTATTTCATTCCCTGCCATGAAGACATGCACAGGACGGCTCCTGCCATGCCTGCTGCTAACATGCATTTCCCACAGCTTTAAACTTACCTCTGAGACAGGAGATGAGCTGCTGGAAAGCCTGAATTCTTTTCTTCTCCTCATCGCTCAGGTGCATTGCTCTAGTTCTGTCATCCTCAACCAGGACATGTATAGCTTTGCCACAAACTAAAAGCTTTGCACTGACCCTGTGACTCCGCGAGGATTTTTCACCCCCTGCTTCGGAGTGGAGGGCTGGGATGCACAACGTCATGGTAGTACTCCGCTAGTGAAAGAGGCTGTCAGAGAGAAGACAGGGAGGGAGAAGAATGATCCGAGGGAGCTTTCCAAGTGTAGCTGGTCAGCTTTATGGGAGAACAAAGCTGCCTTAACATTTGGATTCGTTGCTGACTTTTAGGCTTGGAAAATTGCCCATTTGGCTGCTGAGGCAGCAGCCTGAATTGTTGTGCAACTTGGCTGTGAAGGGAATGCAAAGGGATTTCTTCCCCTTCAGGTTCACGCATCACTAGCCATGCCAGGCGTGTTGCTCCGTACTGTACACCCTGAATGAATAAACTGCTTCTAATAAAGGACCAATGTTGCTAATATCTTCGTGTAATTTAAAATAAGGCTTTTTGAATTTAGCTCATTTGGGGAAGAAAAAAAAACCACACTGATATTGCAAACACTTATGCATCTGATTAACTTCACCGCTTAGCTTAATTTGCAGGATCAGGGCCTTAGCTATCAAGAGGCTACATGGCATTTCAGCCTTTCTATACATCTTCATTAGAGTATCTTTCTTACGAATTTGCTTTCATGCGTGTTTTTACAACCCCAGTCATAAACTGGATTGTATCTGCCAGCAGCAGTGTTTAACTATGTCAGCTCCTCAGTGCCTGAGCTAATCCCTTGTCCTTCGTGACAGGAGTCGGGGCAGTGCTGTTTCCTAAGGATCGATGCACAAAAGTTGCCAGGTTATTAGGTTAGGTCATTTGCCTAAAAAAATTAGGAGATCATGGGTTTTTATTTGGGCCAGCATTTTTGCCCAGTCAGTTTTTTTTGTTTTGGTTTGGGGTTTTTTTCAATTTTCTGTAAGAGCAGAATTGTTATTTCTCTCCAAATCTACTCATTTTTAGGATTGCAAGTAGGTGTTTTTCCTGCTAAGCCTTCTCTTGCTTCTACTTTTTTCCTCCCCATCCTGTCCTCCCTGCAGCTTATACTCTTTCATTTCTATTTCTATTCCATTTTCTCATCCATTTCCAATTTTTTTTTTCAGTGACACGATGGAAAAATAGTTCCTCACAGCTTCCTCCAGCTGCTGTGACTGCTGCATTGCGTGTTTTCAGATTTTAAATCTGGCAACCCTAGTGGATGTCCATCTGGGGAATTATACAGGTGCAGAAAGGAGCAAGTGTTTCTCCTCTCGAAGCTCTGCGTTGTTGCTGCTCTTCCTGGTGCCTGAGGACATGTTCCCTCAACCGGCAGCTCCCTCCGAGTTGCCATGACTCTTGGCTGCCCCCCACCCAGAGCACTGTGTGAAAAGCTTGACAGAGGCTGAGATATGAATGCGGATATTAAAACACAAAGACTTCATTTTTTTAAGGGTTGTGCCTAATCCTTTCTCTCCCGGGGCCCTATTTTTTGGACTCCAAATATTTGTAACAGGACTCATAACTTGTAGAGGCAGATGTAGCACTGGCAGCCTCCCAGTTCTAAGAGACATGAAGGAAATTTTTGGCTACATGGGACTCCACATAAGTGCTGATGAACTTGGTCCATGGCTGAAGCATCCCCAAGCCAGCAGCTCCTGCCAGCTGTCTCCTTGCCATGCCATCAGAGATGCAGGTGCAATGTGCAGGTGCTCAAAATAAATGTGCACGGGCCGTCCCTGCTGAGAGTTCACGGCAGACAGAGCTCTGCTGGAGGTTGCTTTAGATACAGGGCTCTACATGCCTCAAAGACATATGTGCGTAATAGGAGATACCTCTTTATTTGAAAAGTGGTTTATGAGTTGTTAGGGTTTTTTTCCATGAGCATGTGGAAATTTTAATTATGGCAGAAGTAAATTAATGGCAGAAGTAGAGAAAATATCTGTGAATTAAGATATCCTTTCACATTAGTCACAGTATTCTACTGAAGTGCTTTCACTTTTTGATTTGGTTCTGTCACTTGGTGAATTAAGCCCCAGTCTGCAGTGTGAGGCAGAAGGAAGGAGCCTGAAGTCCACAGAGCACCAGTGAAACCTTTGCATAGGTCATCTACCTTCTTGCTGCATGAGCCGGACGTCGGTCAAAAGTTGCATTTGTCTGTAAAAATCCAGGATGGGCAAGTGTTGGTCGTTTGGTGCATCAGCACTGCTTGGTGGCACCTCCAGGTCCCGTCCCATCCCTGATGGTTCCTGGGGCTGTGCCTGGTTCCAGTGTGGTGCATCCAGAGCAGGG